CCTTTAAGCCACCTTGCTTTTGGTTGGCTGCCTCTCAAACAAATGATTTAAACAGCAGGTAGAGCTGCTTACCTGTGGTGGCCATATTAGGAATAGCCACTCTCTCATGAAAAGAACCGTATGAAACTGAGTGTTTAGGTGTTTGCAGATGAGACTGTGATCTGAAACTGTGAGCACTGTGAGTAGCAGGGAGTGACTAGAGACTGGAGAGGTGGAGGTATGCTCTTGAGAGAAGAGGATGAAAGTCGGTGGAAGCAAGACAGAATGCGCGTGTGTAAATGAGAGGGTGAAGACTCAAAAAGTAGAGAAAGTGAAGCTAGATGAGTTTAAATACCTGTAGTCAACCGTCCAAAGCAAAGGATGGTGCATAAGAGAGGTGAAGAAGAGAGAGCAGAGAGGGTGGAGTGGGTGGAGATGAGTGTCGGGTGATTTGTGACAGAAGGATGGCACCAAAAGGGGTGGTTTACAAAATAGTAGTGAGATGTTAAGATTGGACGTAAGCTGTTATGGTTTTCATAGGCGTGAGTAGAATGGACAACATTAGAAATTAGTCTATCAGAAGGACAGCTCAGGTTGGGCAGTTTGGAGACAAAGTTAGAGAGGTGAGGCTGAGATGGTTTGGACATGTGCAGAGGAGGGATAGGCGACTTATTGACAAAGGATGATGAAGATGGAGCTGCCAGGCAGGAGGAAAAGAGGAAGCCCTCAGAGGATTTTCATGGAAGTAGTGACAGGAGAGGAGGAGGCATCCTCCATCCAGATGATCCATTGTGGAGATGTCTAAAGAGAGACAATTAAATTCTCAAATGTAATTTAGTGTCTTAATTTGATGTCTTCTCTTGTTACAACAAATTTAAAAACGTTGGATCTTTACTGTGACAGAGCTGATGTGCTCTGTGTGGTTTCGTCTCACAGATCTGTAGCTGTGCGTATAGTTCCAGCTTCCTGTTTGGACGCCTTTGTGGCACCTCCTCTAACAAAGGTGCAGATGCGATGCCCTGAGAACAGTTGTCTCTCCTGTTCACTCTCTGTCACTGCAGTGGAAGCAGGAAAGACAGAGCCTGAGGTTTAGTTCTTAGCGGGACACAGCGCTGTCAGGGCATCAGGTGAGAGCATGTACGGAGCCCCCCCCCGCCCCCACTCCTCACCCCACCCAGCACACTCCACTCGTCACCTAATCGGGTCTGACACAATGCCAATTCCACAGTGGGTGGTGCACACAGCTTTATTCATAGATGTGGCAGTCGGGCAGCGATCAGCTCCCAGACTCTGTCGCGCCATATCAGCTAGCACGCAACGGCGGTCACTTATAGATGCTATTGTTGTCTGTGATTTTATGTGTTCTGGCATTTAACAAAATCATTTTTCAAGTGGAAAGCATTTGATGATCCATCAGGATATCTTTCAGGGGTGTTACGAGTGAAACCTGCGAGCCTGTCCGTGCAAAACAGTGTACGAAGGGTGCAGATGTTAGGCCAACGAAATTTAAGCACCAACTTCAATGAAACTGCGACAGAGTGTCCCGAAGGCGTAGGCAAACAATTTACTGAATTGAGCCAGACATAACTGAAAAATTCACGTCTGCGGCACATATAGCTGCTGTATGGTTTCTATTGTTGCCTCTGAAAAGCTGAACAGGAACTGCGACTCAATCATAAAGCGTGCAGGGAAGCAATTTCTTTCTCTTATTCAAGTGAAAAATTATTCTGTGCTGTCACAAAAGACTCCCTAACAAGGTGCTTTAAACTCTCTGGCAGTGCATTGCTGCGGGGTGTCAAAGAGTGGATAAGATATAAATGAAGCTTAAACTCAAAAGTCTGTTTCTGGTAATAGCAGCATTTCGTTCCCTCTCCAATGTGCTTTTGATGTGGAGCTAAGATTAACAGTGTTAAATCGTCTACTTCACTGTCTCAAGCTAACAACACCGGCATAATGAGCAGAAGGTTGACAACAGGGGCACTTCTTTCAGGTATATGATTGATTTTGTTTTCTGTTGTGCGAGTTGTTGTATGCCACCTTTGACCATTTTGTATTATTAAAAAAGAAATGGGATTTAAGGTGAAAACGAGGAATACCCGGCCGCTGAGGAACGTTTCCTTTCGTCTCCTCTTAATCATGTGATCTGGCCGATGATGGCTGAGCAGCTGAGGAAGCGCGAGGTCCCAAGGAATCCGAGGGCTCAGACCCAGCTGCTCTCTAGAGAGAAGAAAGATTTGCACGTCCAACGTGTCGATCCCTCAGAGTTAATGAGGCCTGCTGTTTGGGCTTCCATTATGAGCTGGCTGCATCCTGAGCCAGGCCGGGTAAAGTCATGCATCATAAAGTTCTGACGCTCGCTGATACATCGTGGACAGTAGGCAGAGCTCAGCGTTTCTCACCATCTCTGTAAATAAACGTACCACGCAGGTGACTCTTTTCAGATACACTGCACATTTCGAACACAACCTTTAATCTACTGTTGAAATTACACAGTTGTATACGTGTTCCCGTAACTTTGACACGCACGGTGAGTCACGTTCATGAAAATTGATCCTGAAATGCATGAGTCTGTGTTTATACGCTGGAAGAAGCGTCTGTGCTGTGTTCTAAAGTGTGTGCATGTCAAATAATTAGCAGCATGTAAGCAAAGTTTAATATTTGTGTATTTATTTACTTTTACAGTTTATTAAAGTTTGCCTCCCGTTCTGCAGTAATAGTCAAACGGTAGCCTGTGGGCCAGAAATCATATTTGTGCCCTCAGACACGAGCTGAAATTTCACTTTGTTGTTTACAAAGCAGTCACCGTGATCTCATCCCCGAGCGTTTGTGAGATTTCACCAACAAGCTCTCTGTTGTCGTTTATTTATCGTCTGTGGCTTACGTGTGCTGGCTGCAGAGAACCCACGGTCCAGTGACAGAGATCAGGGAAGTCCGCATTAGGCTGCAGGTTTCTCACCCAGGAGGCTGGTGCACACAGTCTCCCGTTTTTCTGACTCATTTGTTTCATTTTTGGAGATTTGTTTCATTTTAGGGTTAGGAAAAGTTTCCCTATTCACAACAGTAATCCTGCATGTTTTAAAAGTGGCACTCTGGGAGTGACAATGTAGTCTCAATATTGTGTCACACGCTGCTGCCAAAGGACACCTTGTGCGTGACTGAAGCATGCCAGCAGCTCTGACAGTGCCATTATTCTCTCGCCATGGGAACGTAAATGGCCTGTCAGAACTGTAATCATGAATCACGGTAACGTGTTTTTAGTTGCTTTAGCTCGGTTACTGTGCAAATTGTGGCTCACTGTGGAGTCCACCGGAGCTCTTCTTCCGATTCAGAGCAAATGAAACTTTTGGAAGTCATGGTAGCTTCCTTTGTCTTCAGCCGCAGTGCTAATGCTAACTTCTATCAGGACTGCTAATTTACGCACGAGGCGCTCTTGATTGCTTTGTCATTTTTTAAAACGATCGTTTTCATGAATGCCTACTCATCAGTGAGCTCAAGCAGGCCGTCTTCATTTGCAGAGCTGCTGTTAAGAAAATGCTGCTGTGGTGTGCGTTACACTCAATTTTTGGCCCAACAGTCTGCGTTTAGGCATGAGACAGGCCTTCCATCATGAAGTCAAACTGGAGATTACAAGAGATTACAGCATGCTGTTATTCAAAGAACTTAAGTTATTACACGCCTCAGGTCACCAGCGACATTTTGGGGAAAAAAAACATCTATACAAAGCTTTCTTAATCCTTCTTGACACTTTGACAAAAACAGTGTTAAAAACAAATACTTTGAGGAATACAAGCGACTTGAGTGTCGAACTGGGGGGGATGAATGAATTACAGAGGGTGCAATATAGTCGTGTGCACACCTGAGGGTAAAATGCACACAGACGGAGTCGATAACACCAGAAGTGCTGGGTGACTGGATCTGTAATTACGCTCTCGTTCTGCATACAAAAATATGTTTTCTCTAAATCTCCTATTGACCAATCTGATTCCTTTATGTGACCGAGTAAACCGAACGCTTAGTTCACGCTCATCCAGCTCCCAGATGCCACAATTAGGAGCACCTCAAAGGTCAGCTCAGATCTTTGCCCATGTTGCAATATTGAAAATCAAATCTTCTGTAAAGATTCAGTCGGCCCCAGATCTAGGGAAGGTCATCCGAGTGTCGCTGATTTTCTGAAAAAGCTCGGCCACGCAGCGCGAAGAGCGTCGAGTTCAAGCCTCTGGGGTGTCTAAAAGGACACACACGCACCTGTGACGGGATTGCACCGTGAGCCGAAGCTGGATGGGAGGAGGGGGATTCTCGAAGTCTGAGGATGATTGGCAGAAAATGTCAGGCACAACACGTCAGCCCCATACAGGCACAGCAGGCAGATGTCAGATGCTGCATGATAAGAAGGAGGGCAGACTCACAAGGAAGAAGAAGAAGTGGCATCTTCAGAGAGTTATGTCATCCTTTCAGACTCTTTCACAGATTAGGCCCCGGCACAGCTCGCACCCGAAATCTTTTTGTGCTCAGAGTATGATTAAATAAGTATCTCCCGACCTATCGCCCAAATGTACGAGACTTAAAAAACAGCTATCTTCTAATGTTTTCCCCTTCTGTTTCTTCTGCTATCGTTATTTTCCAAACACAGGGATTAGTCAGGGTCACAGTTTTTTCCACATACTTGTGTTGCACAGAAGGAAATGCTCAACCTTCTGGGCTGCACACCACCGGGGCCTGAGCCAGGGTCAGATATCTCAGAGGGGAAAGGCAGACCCAGGACCGTTGGCTGCATGTTAATTATGGTGAAAGTGTTTTGGTTGACCTTGAGGCCATGCTTCATCCTTTTTTAGTAAGGTTTTTGTGAAGCTTTAACTCGAAGCTAGACTTGTGTTACTTATATACATCTGCTATACCCTTTCTTTCCTTTTAAAGCTGAACGGATCACAGATAAGCTTCTTCAGAGTGATGTAAATGTTCATTATCTCTTTGAGGTTTCTCTCCGATTCACAGCCACCGTATGTTCCTTTCTCTGTTTTCAGGGCAGCGCTCCCATGGCCCACCCTGAAGATGAGCTGGAACGCCTGACCAAGAAGATGCTGTATGACATGGACAACCCTCCGTCCGAGGAATATTTTGGTAAGATGCCAAATCTCATTTCACCAACACCTGATCAGCAACATGCTTTTGCTAAGGAAACATAGATGTAGCGTATGCTAACGTATAAGTGCCTTGAACCTGCATTCTTTTTAACGGTCAGCAGGGGGCGACTTCTTTGGTTGTAGAAAGAAGTGTGACTATATTGAAGTCTATGAGAAAATATGAGTTTGGTTTCTTTGATCTCCAACCCGAGTAAGCACTTTACTAATGAGTTTATGGTCTCAAGTCTTATTGAATGCAACATGATGGTCATTTCGGAAATTTTTATCCCTAATACTGTTAGAAAGGAGGATGTAGATGCTGATCAATCCCTTCTTCATGCTGCAACGGACAAAAAGCTTTGCTCGAGATGTCAAACAGCTCTTCATTCAGCAATAAGTGGAGTCAGAGCAGGTTTTATATGCAGTAAATGATATGGACAGTTAGGATGTATTAGTATTTCTTTTACAGTTGATCTGCAGTGTATGCAGTTTTTATGACAACTGGAATACCAGGTCATTCCTGAAATTACAGGTTTTTTGGAGGTGTATTAAGTAATATACTTTGCATTTTTCTATATGAATGTGAGACGAACTAAAAAAAATTGCCGAAACAAAAGTCCGAAATGCTGAAAATACAAATATGTACGAAATGCAAGTGATTTAAAATAATAAATTAATTAAAAAAAAATTAAACAAAATATTACGACTTGAGTCAACCATTTAAAAACACATTTACAATCTAAAGGTATTCCTTAAAAGTCTGTGAGTACTTCTTTAAGTGTAACACCAAATCCAACCAGCATTGAACTTATTCATATTTTCATTTTAGAAAAGAGGTTAATGTAATAACCTGCATTTGTCAGGTTATCACTTTTTAAGCATACAGCAGCAACCTGCATGCTGGCGTGCATGAACATGCTTCGTGTTATTATAACGTTTTTGCTCCTTCTGGTTTAACTAACCAACCACAGAGCTACAGCCTAGTGGAACTAATGAATAGCACCAGCATCCTTATTTTCGTATTGACAGAGCACCGGATTATCTTATTTATTAATTTGGCTCCTCAGACGCTTTATTGTCTGCTACACAAAAATCTTGGGAAACATTTTGAAGTTGAATACAAAACTTGCATATTTGCCATATATGGGCATCAACTGACTGTCTTAACATTCATAAAGACAGTTGGATATTTTCTCTTTTATAATATCACAGTGTTTCTTAATTGATTTCTCCCTCAGCCCCTTCCTCCTGTTCCTGTTCCTATTACCAGACATGGTGACAGGATCATTTGCCTTGTCCCTGTTGTGTTTTCATATATGGTAGCGACATATTTGCTCCGTATAGCGCTCGGGGTGATTTAATGTTCTCCCTCAGCCCCGCTTTGCTGCTTGAACAAATCTAAATAGTAATTTTTGCTGTAATTGGATCTGGAATCTCAGCAGTAAGTGTCGCTGACATGACAACAGTCATAGGTGCTAGTAGAAAAGTGGTTAAAATTAGCTCATTACTCACTGTTTGGGTCACGTGTAAGTATTACTGGGAAGAGCTTTGCAGATAAACAGCATTCTTTTTGAAGGATTTCAAAAGCAGTTCTGCAAACATTAGTGCAGGCAGTGTGATCTCATTAGGAGCACTCACTCTGTCATTTTCACTGTGACATTTTGTGAAACTAAAAGTAGAACCAAACAGGCTCCTTAGTTACTTTTAAAAAAGCAAAGAAACTGAGACTGAGTGTCTGCTGTTGGGTTTGATTGCTGACTAGCAAAATGTGGAATTGTGGGTTAAAACGGAAAAACCTGAATTAAGAGTTCCTAGATTCATCCTTATAGTGACGTAAGTTAGGTTGGTATCTGGTTCAGTGGTTGGTAGTAACTATTGGAGATTTTCTGTGTTTGAACTGCAGGAACTGCAGACCATTGTAGTTCTTAGAAGTCAGATTTCAGGACTGTAATTGGTCCAGACGTAAGTGTACGTTTGTCATGATCCTGGGGTTTTCCAGCCTTTTGTTCTCTTGATAGAGTTGTTGTTTTTGTGCGTCTGTTTGAGTTTCTTCTGCCTCCTGTGTTCCCCTGTCTCTGCTATTTTGTTAGACTGTATGTCTCATTGTTTGTCTCATTTCCTGTTTTGCCTTGAAGGTTATTTTCCCATCTCTGTTACCCTAGTTTTATTTCCTGCTTGTTCCCTTTTTGTTTGTCCCTCTTTCATTGGTTTAAGTTTTGAAAACTTCCACCTGTGTCTCATTCCCTCCTGGAACTCTTAGTGTAATTGGTTCCCAGCGCAAATATAATCTTATGTATGCATTAGGATTGTGTAGGTCACCACTTGGTCAAGTTGTGTTGCTAAGCCTTTCTCCATTGCCTCTCCATCACTCAACTTGACAATACTGATTTGTTGAACACATGAAGGCATCATGAAAACCACCTTTAAAGTGACACTGGAAAAGAATTGGCTATTGCAACAACAGCTCTTCGTGTTGGCATTAAAAAAGAAAGTAAAACACACAGAAATGATCTGACCATGAAGTCCAGGCTTTATTTACGCAACAGGGGAAATGCAACATTAAAAAAGTATTCGTTAATTCGAGAGAAATATAAAAACCTTTGGTTCTCTTAGACCCCATTAAACACAGGCCTAGAAAACAGTTGTCATCATTTGCTAGGACATAATCCCCAGAAACCACTTGTTTGTGATTGGTCGCAAAGAGATGCTCATAATAGCTTTGGTAACTAGCAGATCACTATAACTCGTGGCATCTTTGCTAAGAGCTACTGAAACTGTGAAAACTGCAGTGCAAATCAGAAATGGGCAAAGTTCACCTTCAGAGCAAAAGTTGGACCTTTTGATTTTCTTTGAACTCTGTTGCACTCTTCAGTTTCATCAGCACTCTTTGGTTGGTTGGTTTGCAGACAGGTCGGTGTCTTCCAATAAAACTATGAGCAACCACGGCAATCTGTTAGAAACCAAAGCAATCACAGATGTGTTTTTGGTACAGCACCCTCTTTGTGACCAGTTTCCCCCAGTGACAGCCAGTAAACCAGTAAGCGGTTGGGGAGTATACATTTTTCCCTAGTAACCAAAGTTTTTCAGCGAGTCTCCAATTAATTTGCCAATAGGGGCACAGTGATGAAATGGTGAAAGAAAGGCAACCAGAAGATGTGACTGTAGGTTATAAACCACTGACTATTTATCACATTATTTCAGAGTAAATATTCATGTTGCAAATACAAAGAGGAAAAGGAATATAGAAAGATGTGTAATTCCTGCAGGACCTCCTCGGCAGGTCATTACCTACAGGTAATGGCTCAAGCATTGAACGCAGTGCAAAGCTACCCTGTATTCTTGTTTCTCTTATCTATTAATTTTCATGGTGTAGAAACAGCACTGACTGTTCTTGTCTGGGAAGAAGTCCTCAAGGTAGAGTCTCAGAACTATATCAGTTTGATCAAAGGCGAAAGCACAACTCTGGCTCAAGGTGTAATGAGAACGAGGCACACAGTGAAGGTGTTGGACAGATGAAGGAGATGGATTTTAATATATCTCTATATCTTGGTTGAGTGTCCATCTTTTCACAGCATTTCCCCTTTCTCCCCTTGTGTAGCACTTATATTTAATTTTGCTATAATTGTGAAACAAATATATATATATAACTGCCAGGATTAAACAAAATACCAGTTTTAATACTATTTTGCAAAATAGGATTCAGAAGGCAAGGATTCTGTGCATTTTTATTTCATTTCTATTTTTCCGCCCTCTGCACCCACAGCTGCCAGCGAGTGCCATCCCTCTGCTGCTCTCTTTTCTCTAGCCTTTAATCCCCTTTGCCCTGGAATTAGTTCCCATGCCCATTAGATACCTCATTCAATACATTCAGTGGGACTCTGCAGCAGGCTTTATATCAGCACATAATCACACAGCACACCATGATACCATGTGTAGGTGTATTATAGCTACAGGGACGTGTATTTAACTGGTATTAAGGGATATTCGGCTTCACGTTGGTGCGCACTCATGTAAAGACCTTAATTGGTTCGCATTAGACATAGGTCAAACGGATCTGCTGGCTTAAACAAAGTATAGTCGCTTTACTGAGGAATGGCCTAATTTTTGGGTGTATGTGTTGCAGCCTGGGCATGAACTCTGTGTACTGCTATACCATGCATGCAGTCACCCCCGTTTGCCAGCTCTGAGGCCGACTGGCTGAAGGCTGGTAAAGCAAGGACATGGGGAGTTGAGAAATGGGTCATATGTGAGCTGAGGTAGCCAGAGCAAGTTAGGGATAGCGTGTGCATCCCCAGCTGACAGCGTATGTCTGTTACGGGAGCGGAAGAGGAGGAGGGGGAGGGAGGGTCATCTTGTGGTTAAACATGGCGACAGCGATGAGAGATGGGAAGAGGGTTAGGGCAGGAGCCGGAGACCGAGGCGACTGCTGGGACTCATTAGGAGGGAGTTCAAGCGCAGGCAGATGCTGCTCTGGAAATCCACAGAGCCGTCTTCCTCCCCCGCTGAATAATGTACATACACTCAGCACAGCGATGTGAGAATCAGCGCCGGTCCGGCATGTTTCCTTCTGTATATCCAGAGCTGTGGGAGAATTGGTCTCAGAGCGCAAGACTTTTGTAATTACAAAGGATCTAATGACACGTAGGCCTCTTCTTTTTTGTCGGGGATATTGGGGGAAAGAGGGCTAACAGTTGTTGAAACCCTAAGGCTAGTAATTAACAAGATTAATCAACGTGGGGCTGCGATCTCGAGCGCGCTACTGGACTGGATCATTGTCTTCCTATAGCAAAGTTTTATTGGTGTCACTAATGTCTTTGATGAGCTTCTAATCTGAAACAGCCGTAGTGAGTTTTCATTGGTCCAGAGGGGGTTAATTGAATTGAATTAACGTTATACTCTGGCTCTGTGATGTCACCAGGAAACTTTTCATTAGACACAGCGGAGCACCACACCATCATTACGCTTTCCTGCTGCAGTCCAGCAATTACGCCGGACAAG